GTATGTGAACCCCTTGGGATTACGTGGAGTTTTGCATGAATTGGGCATAAAATGTGCTCTGAACGTCATCTAAGTCACAACAATAGAAGAACACAGTCTGCTGAACATAATACAACACAAACATTAGATGTTGCCATGGTTTAATTGCACATAACATGTAAACATTCACAGTGCAGGAAGGAAAAAGTATGTGAGGCCCTAGCTTAATGACTTCTCTCAGAGCTAATTGGAGCCAGGAGTGAGCCAACCTTGACTCCAATCAGTGTGATGATATTGGATATGTTGCTGACAGCTGTCCTGCCCTTAAAAAACACACACCTGTTTTGAGTTTACTGGTTTCAAGAAGCACTGTCTGATGTGAACCATGCCTCGCAGAAAAGAGCTCTCAGAAGACCTACGATCAAGAATTGTTGACTTGTATGAAGCTGGAAAGGGTTACAAAAGTATCTCCAAAAGCCTTGATGTTCATGTGTCCACGATAAGACAGACTGTCTACAAATGGAGAAAGTTTAGCACTGTTGCTACTCTCCCTAGGCTTGGTCGTCCTGTAAAAATGACTGCAAGAGCACAGCGCAGAATGCTGCATGAGGTAAAGAAGAATCCCAGAGTGTCAGCTAAAGACCTACAGAAATCTCTGGCACATGCTAACATTTTTGTGGACACATCTACAATAAGGAAAACATTAAACAAGAATGGAGTACATGGGAGGACACCACGGAGGAAGCCATTGCTGTCCAAAAAGAATATTGCAGCACGTTTGAAGTTTGCAAAAGAGCACCTGGATGTTCCACAGCACTACTGGCAAAATATACTGTGGACAGATGAAACCAAGATTGAGTTGTTTGGGAAGAACACACAACACTATGTGTGGAGAAAAAAAGGCACAGCACACCAACATCAAAACCTCATCCCCACTGTAAAACATGGCGGAGGGAGCATCATGGTTTGGGGGTGCTTTGCTGCCTCAGGGCCTGGATGGATTGTTGTCATTGATGGGAAAATGAATTCCAGAGTTTATCAACACATTTTGCAGGAAAACGTACGACCATCTGTCCACCAACTGAAGCTCCGCAGAGGATGGGTGATGCAACAGGACAATGACCCAAAGCATACAAGTCATTCAACAAAACAATGGCTGCAACAGCACAGAATACGCCTTCTGGAGTGGCCCAGTCAGAGTCCTGACCTCAACCCGATTGAAATGCTGTGGCATGACCTTAAGAGAGCGATTCACACCAGACATCCCAAGAATATTGCTACACTGAAACAGTTTTGTGAAGAGGAGTGGTCCAAAATGACTCCAGATTGCTGTGCAGGTCTGATCTGCAACTACAGGAAACGTTTGGTTGAAGTTATTGCTGCCAAAGGAGGGTCAACCAGTTATTAAGTCCAAAGGTTCACATACTTTTTCCTCCCTGCACTGTGAATGTTTACATGTTATGTGCAATTAAACCATGGCAACATCTAATGTTTGTGTAGTATTATGTTCAGCAGACTGTGTTCTTCTATTGTTGTGACTTAGATGACGTTCAGAGCACATTTTATGCCCAATTCATGCAAAACACCACGTAATCCCAAGGGGTTCACATACTTTTTCTTGCAACTGTATGTACTGACGCAGAGCATGCTACTTGTGCATTTTAAAGACAGAGCAGCAAATTTCCTGCAGTCTCCTACTTGATACTCCCAACACAGCATGGAGTGTGTAGAGGTACAGCAGTTCTCTCCATAACAATTGATGTTTATAATAGTAATGTTGTTTCTAAATCAAGAAGACCATGTAGACTGGTGAGTTTTACTTTTTAGAGATCTAGGTTATATAAATGCTGGAAATACTAAAAACTACACAGAAACAATTCCTATAATGTGTGAGTTGTATCCCCCACCCCCATATGTTATAAATACTGCTTTGTAAGGAGCCAAACCTCATTTTATCACATGGTTTTCATCTAAATTTTCTTTGCTGCTTTAACAGTTTCCCCACTTCTGATTGTAATGCTAATCGCTACCCAATGGTCCTGGGAACAACACAGTATATTCTACTTGGGGTTCACATTGTGCCAGGACATTTGGTTCCTTGTAACACTTCACAATAATAATTACTGAGTGACATGAGTTCTTTGGAATTTTTTTTATTTAATCCACAAAAAAATAAAACTGCAAAAGACAAAGCTACACTATGCAGAAAATGCAGATTATTTGTAATAAGGTATGCTTTGGGGTTTATTTACTAAAGACAAATAGAATGTGCACTTTGCAAAGTGCAGTTGCTTTCAGCAACAGCAGTTGCTCCAGAGCTTAGTAAATGAGCAGAAGTTCTGCTGACTGCCATCATCCAATTATGTGCAAGCAAAAATGCTGGGTTTTTTTTTTTTTTTTTTTTTTTTTTTTTTTATTTTCCTTGCATGTGATTGGGTATTCTTTGCAAAGTGAAGCTTTACCTCACTTACTAAGCTCTGGAGATTTGCTCTTTGCAAATTGCACAATCTATTTGCCGTTAGTAAATCAACCCCTTTGTGTTCTTGGGACACAACATTCTCGGAGTGATCAGCTCTGGTTGGAAGACATACTCTTAAACTGACCATACGCTAGATATCTGATGTGTAAAAACGCCCACATTTTATTATTACAAATGTTAAAACATTACATATTGCAGGTACGCAACAAATTAAAATTTCCATACGGTGGTTGAATACATCTTCCGGATTGAACATAGTGATACATGTACACATGTTCCCCCTTGGACGATGGGGAGGCAATATAGATTCGGCAAGATACACGATGCGTTTCAGAACATCCTTAATTCTTTCATCTGGGGTAAGCTGAAGAGGAATGATGACTGGATCACCCTTCTAAAAACACAATGTGTAACAATAAATAAACAGATAAGGTTCTGTACATATATTATAATCTTTATGTTATGTGTATAGTTATTACATACCATCCAGGATGAATATTGATCTGTATGGAGCCACCAAGGAAAAATAATTGCCTGAATTGGTATCTATTGATTCCACCAGGTGAGGAGATCATGCTTAAATCCCCAGATGGAAGCAAAAATAGTAAATCACTAAAAAATAATAGAAATAGATCAATGCCTAAATGGCTTGATATTAACTAGAAGACAAACAATGGAAACATAGGGAGAGGATTAGGAGAACACAGGTCATTGTATCAATATACTAAATGGTAAGTGGTAGGCTCCTATATGCAGCAGCCATGATCCCATGCAACAAAATAAATTAGTAGACCATAAAAAGTGTGCAATATGGCACAAACAATATGAAACAATTCATCAAAAGAACAATTCCTCTAGGGAAATTGGTATGGATATGGTCCCAATAGCTGATATTTCCATAAAGATCTTACCTAGTGTGCAAAAAAGGGGCCTCCCGTTCCTGAGGAGCAGACTTTCCCTTTCCATGTAGATAATGTCACTGTATAATGAACTCACAGATCAGTGCTGAGGGGTATAAATATGGCTTCCAATGTGGGCACATGCGCAGTGGGACGGGCACAGGCGCATGCTTGGGTCGGGTTGCCCAGGGAACTTCTGGGCCAGCAGTGTGCACATACATCATGTACATACCAGCCCACCGGCTCATATACAGCCAATTGACCAAAGGGCAGTCAAACACCACCCTCAGGGAATAACATGGGGGAGGGGCCAAGCAGGTATCACCCATCCTCCCCATATTTCTGTGCAATGAAGACCGGCCTGGGGGAGTGCCCCGGTTGGCCCCCGCGCACCGGGTGGAGAGAACAATGGCAATGGGACTGCACTGGCTACACCTGGTGACAAAAGCAGAGAGCAGCGGCATACTCTGGTGTACCAATACAGAAAACAATCTAATCGACTCATAAAAAACATATATATGAATTGCATAAAACAAAGAAACAAAGGCAAGCACTGCCATCAAAACAGAGCTAGATGGAAACAGTTTATATCTAATGTGAGAGAGATAGGGAAAATAAGGAGAATACAAAGAATATTGTTCAAGTTGTTAGAAATGGCCCTATGAATATACACGGCCACACATACAGTAGCAAATCAAATTATTTTTCACATCTCCCTGAAGCAAAGCCACCCAAGCAAGGTCTAAAACTGACAGTGTCATTCAGTCCAGGGGGAGATGTGGTATTTCTGACCATTGGAAAGTATGATTTTTTTTTTTTTTGGTGTTGATGTAATGACAGTAGGAACATCCTCCGCATTTGAATGTGCCTACATTTTTGCAAGGATGTTTTCTAGCATTCCCTAGGAACTCACTATGTACTAAATGGTCTCTGATGGATTTGTAATGTCGGTAGGTGATCTGAAATGTGGGGGCTAAGAGTGGGATCTATTTGTAGGAGGTGCCAGTATTTCTGGAGAATCTTTCTAATTGATGTGTGTTGTTCAGTGTACCATGGGATGATACCAAAACCCATGGTTTCCTTCTTTCGCTTTTTGGGGAATAAAAAATCATGTCTGGATTTTGACCTAGCCCTATTAAATGCCTTTTTCAGACAGGTGGGTGTGTAACCCCTTTGGAGTAATCTGTCTCTTAATTTGGCTGATTCTTCAAGAAAGGTGTTTTCATTAGAGCAATTGCGTTTTATCCAGAGGTATTGACTGTAAGGGATGGAGGCAATCAGGGGTCAAGGGGTGTGAGCTCTAGGCATATAAAATGGTATTCACCTCTCAGGCTACTTGTACACTCACAGACTGCAGTGCCAGTCCAGCCCAGTGTCCCTGATCACTGCCTCAGTATAGTCCTAATATAAAAATGCATCCAGCACCTGTTACCTGTCCTAGTGCTCACAAAAAACATTGCTAAACACCATACCAATTTCCTGATCACCGCACCGCCATACCAGTGCCATGATATCCACCACACACCATGCCAACACCCTGATCAGTACCATACACCATACCAGCACACTGATAATCGCCATATCAGTGCCCTGATCACCGCCATACCTCATACCAGCACCCTGATCCTCCTATATGCAATACCCCATACCATCATTCTGTTCACCCCCATATGCCATGCAAGTGTCCTGATCACTGCCATACACCATACTAGTGTCCTGATCACTGCCATACCCCATACTAGTGTCCTGATCACTGCCATACCCCATACTAGTGTCCTAATCACTGCCATACCCCATACCAGCATCCTGATCCTCCTATATGCCATACCCCATATTATCGTTCTGGTCACTGCCATACCCAATACTAGTGTCCTGATCATGCCATACTAGTGTCCTGATCACGCCATACCCCATACTAGTGTCCTGATCACTGCCATACCCCATACTTGTGTCCTGATCACGCCATACCCCATACTAGTGTCCTGATCACTGCCATACTAGTGTCCTGATCACGCTATACCCCATACTAGTGTCCTGATCACTGCCATACCCCATACTAGTGTCCTGATCACTCCATACCCCATACTAGTGTCCTGATCACTGCCATGCCCCATACTAGTGTCCTGATCATGCCATACCCCATACTAGTGTCCTGATCACTCCATACCCCATACTAGTGTCCTGATCACTGCCATACCCCATACTAGTGTCCTGATCATGCCATACCCCATATTAGTGTCCTGATCACTGCCATACCCCATACTAGTGTCCTGATCACTCCATACCCCATACTAGTGTCCTGATCACTGCCATACCCCATACTAGTGTCCTGATCATGCCATACCCCATACTAGTGTCCTGATCACTGCCATAACCCATACTAGTGTCCTGATCATGCCATATCCCATACTAGTGTCCTAATCACTGCCATACCCCATACTAGTGTACTAATCACTGCCATACCCCATACCAGCATCCTGATCCTCCTATATGCCATACCCCATATTATCGTTCTGTTCACCCCATATGCCATGCAAGTGTCCTGATCACTGCCATACCCCATACTAGTGTCCTGATCACGCCATACCCCATACTAGTGTCCTGATCACTGCCATACCCAATACTAGTGTCCTGATCATGCCATACCCCATACTAGTGTCCTGATCACGCCATACCCCATACTAGTGTCCTGATCACACCATACCCCATACTAGCATCCTGATCACTGCCATATCATCATCCTGATCACTGCCATAACCCATACTAGCATCCTGACCACTGCCATATCAGTGTCCTGATCACTGCCATAACCCATACTAGCACCCTGACCACTGCCATATCAGTGTCCTGATCACTGCCATAACCCATACTAGCATCCTGACCACTGCCATATCAGCGTCCTGATCACTGCCATACCCCATACTAGCATCCTGACCACTGCCATATCGGCGTCCTGATCACCGCCATACCCCCATACTAGTGTTCTTGATCACCACCATACCTGATAGCAGCGTCCTGATCACTGCCATAACCCTTACCAGTGTCCAGCATTTTCAGGTCTCAACTGATCATTTTTCAGATATATATATCATAGTTTGTAGACTTCAGCTTTCACACAGATTAAATATACACTGTATTGGGTTATTTTACCCCAAAAATGTAGCAGAATATATTTTGGCCTAAAGTTATGAAGAAATATTATTTATTTGCAAAATTGTATAACAAAAACAAAGCAAAAAAAAAATGATTTCTTCAAAAATATTGTGACTTTTGCATTTATATAACAATTCAGTGAAAGCCAAAAATTGGCCTGGACTGGAAGGGGGTAAAAGTGTCCAGACTTACAGTGAATAAACAGTCTATTGCCTAGCAGTGGAACATGAAATATAGCAGCTGCAATACTCACCCCTGCATATTCACCCCTCCTGATGAAGGATACTGCTATCTTCTGAGTTGAATGATGCCCAGTGTTTCCTGACCCAGTTCCTGAAAGTCTATGCTGTCAGTGGCCCCTGGGGGTGAGTCAGTTTGATGTCCTGGGGCTACAGAACTGATGTACAGAATGGAGCTCACATATCACTAGCAAAAAAAAAAAAAAAAACCAGACCATCGACCATCTGAAAAAAACCTATATATTAGGTACATCAATTGTACTTTAGAAAATGTATGGAGTGTGGGGGGGGAGAGCATGTTCATGGGAAGCATTGTATATTTTATAAATATTTGCAGTCGTGAAAAAAAAAATTGGCATATGTAATTGGCATATGATTTATAAAAAAAAATTTCAGTAAAACAATACAAAAAAAGTCAAATACACTTGAGCACATCAGAGATCCCCCCCCCCCCCCCTGCAGTTTGCTTTTTATCTGTTTTGCAGTGCTTTTCACAGTTCATTTTGCGTTTTTCTTCACGCATTTTTGTCGCATTCAGGTCTTCTTTTTAAATGGATTTTTTTTTTAGCTGGGCAGAATAAAAATGCAGAACGTGTCATAAACATGGCAAAAACGCATTACCATGCATTTCAGCAGATTCTCCACTGAACTCTATTGTAGCAAAACCGCTGCTTTTTGCTTTTAAAAAAGTCCCTGACCCTTTCCAAAAAGGCAGCAGCTCAAAAAAGCATAGATGTGAACATGTCCCATAGGAAACCATGTTAAATGGACTGTAGTGCGTTTCTGCAAAGAGCACTAAAAAAAGCATTGGTGTGAATGGAACCTTACATCAGAGTCCCCATCAAAGTCCCTCTCATCAGAATTCTTACTAGACATGAGCAGAAAGGAAAAATTGGTTTCATTTCTTTAAGTTACTAATTTTTGTTTTATTGCATTCATAACAAAATTCATATAGTTTATTAGTTTTTGACTGGGTTAAAATTTTTCCAGTGGATTTGAAGTATTCAAATCGAATTTGAATTGAAAATATCAAATTGATCCAAATCCATTCTATTCTATTTTCTTTTATTCTATTATTTTCTTTTCTATTCTATTTCTTCATTTTCTATTCTATTTTATTCTTTTATCTTCTGTTCTATTCTGTTCTGTTTTACTTTATGCTATTCAATTCTTGTCTGTTTTATTCTATTATTTTCACATTTCAGAAGATCGCTATATTCTTTTCATTTTATTCTTTCTAATCTATTCTATTTTTTTTTTGCTATTTTTTATTTTCTATTCTATTCTTTTCTGTTCTATTACATAGAGAGGTTGATTTACTAAAACCGGAGAATGCAAAATCTGGTGCAGCTCTGCATAGAAACCAGTCAGCCTTCAGGTGTTGTCAAAGCTTAATTGAACACGCTGAGGTTAAAAGCTGATTGGCTACCATGCACAGCTGCACCAGATTCTGAGTGAGGTTTAGTAAATCTACCCCATAGTCTTTGAAGGAAATCAGCAATATATTTATATTTCAAATTTGTTTTCAAATTTGATTTAGTTTTCATAATTTTTGGACGAAATTTTATGTGTCATTATTTTGGATTTGTTTAAACTCATTCCTATTGTAATTAAAAAATTTGAATACATCCAAATTTCAGAATAATGAAAATTTCATCCAAAATTGTATTCTAAATGAAATGTACGGCACATATCTACTTCTTGCATCAGCGTCCTCCCTTACATCCGGGTCCCCATCAAAGTGCCCCTTTACATTCAGGTCCGTATCAGAGTCCATCCTTACATCTGGGCCCCTCTTACATTAGAAGACCGCATAAAATATTGCACTGCAAATTTTTGTATCTGCATGTGAATAAACAACAGAAACCACAGATGTTTCCATTGACCATAACAGGAATGGGGTTCTTAAACAAAATCTGTCATTCAACAAATACAGAGGTTGCTACAGCTTACCTTCTGCCTGGCTGTCACAGTGACAACTCATGGGGCCCCCCCGGCAATAAGAGATAGTAGGGCCCCCTGTGTCCCCGCCTACACTCCAGCCACACCCACAGAATGCCCCACCTACATATTGCAGCTCAGCTGCAAAGAAGGGGAATTTAAATATTTACTGCAGCAAAGCCTGCATGGATGTTCCCGGCTTCTTTCTGTAAAAGCCACTGGGCACTTCCAGGTTTAAAGGATAAATTCACCTTTTGGAGAAAAATAGTAAATGCACATTTTTTTGCAGGTAAAAGGCATTGCACCACTGATCAATAGATCGCTGATGCCATGCAGGTCTCCTGCAGGCCTGTCAGAATATCTGCTTGCCATACGGGATGTACAACCAAGCAGATATACTGACAGGAAGCTTCAATAAACTTCCACAGCACTCCACAGTACCGTGGTAGTTCAGTGAAAACTACAAGCTGACAGCCGCTAAGGTTGCCAGGACTTGTAGGCACTCATTCACAGAACCCTACAAATGAGTGATGCGGCCGTGTGGGCGGAGCCCGTATAGCACACGGTTTTCAAATCTGACAGATAGTATGGGGGAACTTCTCCCTGTACTATGTGTCAGAGAGAGGGTGGGCGGCGGGCGCAGCTGCGGCTATGGGAACATGTTACATGTTCCCAAAGGTGAACTTATCCTTTAAAGTTGGCTGCCATGTGGGGGGAGTGAGAGAGGGTGAGGGGAGGAAGGGTTTATTGAGAGAGAGGTGTGGTTTAAATTGTGCTTAAAAGTGGGTGTGGCTTAACAAGGGTGTGGTTAAATAGTGTCTGAGATTACTTACATAGTGCAGAATGTGGTAATGTTAAATAGGCAATTTACAGCATGGAGCATATGACAGTGGGTAATATGTACAGGGAGAGGAGTGTGGAATGTATGGCGGTGGGTGCAGGATGGTGTCAGTAGGGCAGTGGATGGTGGCAGTATTTCTTTTATTTTTATCATTTATTTTTGTATTATTTTTTTCCACAATAATTTTGTGGGGGCAGTGGACAGTGTCAGTAGGGAGTGAACAGGGAGCACTAGTATATGTTGGGCTGTCATTAGATTGAGATGAATAAACAGAACCTGTACCCCCTTATATCATGGGTCCCTATCACAGTCCCCCTTACATCAGATGTCCCCACATGGGACCAACTACTACCATAGGCTGATGACACAAAACTTAACTTCTTTGGCTGCACCTGTGACGAGCGCAACGTCAGACCCCAGCCCTTCTCACCAAACTCGTGACCGAAGGAGTAGCCAATCTAAAACCGCGCTGTCACGTACGTAACATTGCCACACCCAGCTGTACCCTGCACACAGATGTTCCAGTTAATTGGGCAACGATTGATGTACCGGCAGCCTGAATGCGATTGTTACTGGTTCAGGTTAATTACGCAATTAACCCTTCACACTGCCACCACCTCCTTTCAATACAGAGAAAGAGGAAACTCAGCAATACACTAGGATGATTGGTTAACCGTCAGTATCCCGCTATCTCTACAGACCGGTTATACAGAGGGTTAAATACTCATAGTAGCATTCTCTTTAGAGGCAGGGATTCGTGAATTGCAATACAGAGCTATAGAAACCGTACAACACTTTCAGAAAGTAAGATTTATTACCAAAAGGTCAAAAGGGTGCAGTAAAAATATTTACAGAAAGAAGGTGTAACATATATATATATATATATATATATATATATATATATATATACACAGAGCACAACAGCACAGCAAACAGATAACAGAAAGAAGTTTAGGTAAATAAGTACTTGCCAAATAAATGTCTGGGGTTAAGCAGTTTCAAGTCTGATGAGCTACAAAAAGGATTTC